CATTATGGATTCTTAATTCTGAATCCCAAATTCCGGATTACACTTTTTACATTCCGTATTCCCAATATTACATTTCGTATTCTACTTTCAAAATGTCGAATTCCACATCTCATATTCTGAAAGTGAAATCCGGAATGTGAAACTTTAAATACGGAATTTTGAAAGTGGGATCCGGAATGTGGAATACGGAATTTTGAAAGTGGAATCCGCAATGTGGAAACCGGAATATGGAATCTAAAATCTGGAATACGGAATGTGAAAAGTGTGATCCGGAATTTGGAATCCGGAATTTGGAATCCTGAATCTGAAATGTGGGATCCACAATCTGGACTCCGGAAAATGTTACGTAATTGACCCCCAAAAAAATGTCAATGGATTTGACAAATCTCAATCAGAAATTGGATTTTTTTTTTCACAAAATTAATATTTGTAGGAATAAAGAAAACTTTACCAAATGTGATCATTTGGTTTTAATGTATTTTGTTTTAAATGTTTATCTACTGAAAATGCATTTATTGTACAACTTACTGAAAGCCGTTAGGATAGAATTAGCTCCAGAGACTTTAGTGTTAAGTACTCCTGGTTTACTTAAACATTTCACTAGCACATTCAATCCTTGAGGATCAAGACCCTGTAACCGTTAATGGCCATTGCCAAAGGACTCGAATGTCTAGTGCACTTTTAGGGTCAATACAGGTTCGCATAGTTCAGAGCTATAACGATAATGCTAATTCTCACTGTTCCTTTATAGCATCTCTCCTTTGTTTCCCTTTTGTTTAAATCAATCTAAATCACAATTATCACAATTATATACATTTTTTTACTTTATTCAGAAAATCTTTATTTTTTTCATCTTGATGCTTTTAGTTCTTTCTTTTATATTTAATATTTTTTTTTTCATTTTAAAATCAAGCCTTTGTTAAACTAAACGTTTCCTTTCTGAACTGATGTTTTAAAATAATCAAAACAAAAAATTTAATAAAACTTTATTCACCCTTTGTTATTCTGTATATATATTGGAACAATAAAGTTCATCCTTCGTAAAAAATAGATTTTACTTAGCTATGAAACTTGGTTACTATTATGGAAGGAAGATTTTTTAAATCGTATTAAAAACTTGCTACATCTGCATATAAAAAATGGAACACTATAAAAAATCACATGTATGAGAATATTATGCGAATACATCGTTAAAAAAAAAACTTTCATGCAATGGGAGATTTATAAAGGAAACAATACAAAATATTTAGTAATTTAAATTATTTAGTCTGAAAAATATAATATGCACGAAATTCATTTACGGATTCTAAGGAATGTAGAAAAAGAAATACATAATAAATTATTATTGAATTTTAGAAAATTTAAATAAACGATTTTATCAATAATTTTACAGGGAGAGAAATTCATGGCAAAATGCTTAAGCTGTGAAAGTTTTTTTCTAAATAGAAATGGCTTACAGTGAAAATATACGATACAGAAACAAGATCGTCGAGAATGTAGGATAGACAAACGGAGGTCAGAAAATTCTTTGCTTTTCTATTTCGTGAACGGCGAAGAAAGCTATTGTATGTCTTTGATGCGATTCGAAAAGGCTCATATAACTGACGTTCAAAAGAGTAGCAAACGTCTACGTGATAGTACTTGGCTATGGGCCAACAACCTGGCTTGGTTAAACGAAGCGAATTGTCCGAGGGTTGAACCACGTGGATGGTCATACCTATCGATGTGGTTTTCTTTAATCGAAACTTACATCCTTTTTATTTCTTCTATACAATTTCTTAGACTGCAACATTCAACAAATAAACAACTCGGGGTCGATTATGTAATTCCATTTCCACTTCCATTTTCATCACCAAATCCATTTTCACTTTTTCTAATTTCCACTACCACTTCTATTTCCACTTTTTCTAATTTTCATAAACCACTTCCATTTCCACTTACATCTTTCTAATTTTCATTTCCACATCTATTTACACTTCCACATTTTCTAATTCAATTTTCTAAATGGATGTGAGAATGAAAATTAAAAAAAGTGAAAATGGAAATGACAGTGGTAATGGAAATTAGAAAATGTAGAAATGGAAGTGGGAGTGGAAATGAAAGTGGGAAGGAAACATATAAAAAGTGAAACATGAAATGTAAGTGGGAGTGAAAATGAGAAAAGGTAGAAATAGAAGTGGAAATGGAAGTGGAAATGGAAGTGGGAATAAAAATTAGAAAAAGTAGAAGTGGAAATGAAAATGGGAATGAAAATTAGAAAAGATGGAAATGGAAGTGGGAGTGAATATTAGAAAAAGTTGAAATGAAATTGAGAATAGTTGTGGAAATGGAAGTGGAAATATAAGAGGGAATATTTGAAGTGGAAATGAGTGTAGGAAGGAATATTTAAAAAAGTGGAAATGGAAATAAAAAAAAGTGAAAGTGGGAATGAAAATTACAAAAGTGAATGTGAGAATGAAAAGTGGATACAAGTGGAAATGAAAAATAGAAAAAATGGAAGTAGGAATGAAAATTAGAAAAAGTGGAATTGGAAATGAAAATTAAAAAATTGTAAGTGGGAATAGAAATTAAAAAAGTGGAAGGGGAAATGGAAAGCACAATGGAGATTGGAAGTGGGAATGAAAATGAGAAAAGTGGAAATGGAATTGGGAATGAAAATTAGAAAAAGTGGAATTGGAAATGAAAATCAAAAAATTAGAAATGGGAATAGAAATTAAAAAAGTGGAAGGGGAAATGGAAAGCACAATGGAGAATGGAAATGAAAATAAAAATGAGAAAAGTGGAAATGGAATTGGGAATGAAAATTAGAAAAAGTGTATATGAAAATAAAAGTATGAATAAAAATTGGAAAAAGTGATAATTGAAGTGGAAATGGGAATGAAATTGAGAAAACGTGCGAATGGGAATAAAAATTGAAAAAAGAGGAAGAGGACATGGAAATGAGAATGAAAATTAGAAATAGTGGAATTGGAATTAGAAATGAAAATTAGAAAAAGTGGATGTGGAGGTGGAAATGGGAATGGAATTACTTAATCGACCCCCTGCAGTAAACCAAACTAAAAATTTCACCTATTAATTTATTTTTTGTAAGATGTATAAAATATTTGCATAAGGTAAACCAAAATAACTTTTGTCATTTTGCAAAAATTACATTATACCACTTCAATTCTTATTATTGATACTATATTTCAACCTTAAATCGTAACCTCTGTCAGGGAGAAGATTATCACTCTCTTTAGTAGAAACATAATCGATAAAGTAAAGAAGGGTCTATCATGAGATTTTCCGTATGAAACATTTATACTAATGTTCTTCAACTCATTGTGTTTCGAAAGTTACTGAAATCAAATTACACGAAAGTTTACAACTTTTATTAACTTCCATTATCCATTTTCTAGAAAATTTGTTTTTGACATTAGAATAGGCACAATGTTCTATTTATTTTTTTTTTTTTGATTAAAGAGGATGTATCACGTCAATGTTATCTCTTATTTAAAAAACGTTTAACAAGCTATCATCAATTTAAAATTAATGAAATATGATTAGTAGTGTTGCAAGGCGGGTTCTGGCTCACTTACCGACCGAGTAGGTAATGTAGAAATCTACTTACCGACCGAGTTAGTTCCGGCTGCCACCGCTAGATGGCGCCACCGGCCAATTCAAACCCTCTTGGCGGGAAATTTGAATTTTTAAAAGTGGCTTGGCATTTTACCGGCCAATTCAAACCCTCTTGGCGGGAAATTTGAATTTTTAAAAGTGGCTTGGCATTTTACCGGCCAATTCAAACCCTCTTGGCGGGAAATTTGAATTTTTAAAAGTGGCTTGGCATTTTACCGGCCAATTCAACCCCCCTTGGCGGGAAATTTGAATTTTTAAAAGTTTAATTTAAAGTGGCTTGGTGTTCTACTTTACCGACCGAGTTAGTTCCGGCTGCCAGTGCTAGATGGCGCCACTTTCGATTACCGACCAATTCAACCCCCCTTGGCGGGAAATTTGAATTTTTAAAAGTTAAATTTAAAGTGGCTTGGTGTTCTACTTTACCGACCGAATTAGTTCCGGCTGCCACCGCAAGATGGCGCCACAATAGTTTATCGGTGAATTTAAAGTGAGTTGGTGAATGGGGTATTTTGAATTTTCGCGCCAGTGTCGGTAAGTATATACTATCAGTCGGTAATTTAGATCCCTGGCATGGATCTTGACTCGGTCGGTATGTCAGAGTTCTACCTTACCGACCGATATAGTTCAGGCTTTCAATCATTGGTGGTGATACTACAGTTTAAAAGTTACTTTTAAATGGTTTGGTAAAATAATTAAAATTTTTATCGGCAAATTTAAATGAATTAGTGGAGGTATTTAAATTTTTCTATTTTTAAAATGCTTTAAACTCAGCTGTTATTGTAAAATGGCGCTACTGCAATTGACTTATCAATTATAAATTTTTATTTGTAAGATGTTTTAAACTTACCGCCAATGTGACAACTACGAGTACCGTCATTTAGTTATGGTGTGTGTGTGTGTGTATTTAAGTTCTCACGTTAAAACCTAGGTAATATACGACACAGAAATATTAATTGTCCGCTAGAGCCAATGAAATTAACACATTGCAAGTATGAACGAGTAGAATTCATGTGATTGTACCTTAAGTTAATAGTCATGATAATTTCTTAGTGATTGTATCCTTCTTTCATCTTTTAAACCTCGTGGGGTGATGGTTCGCTATATGCTAATAATTGAGGTGCAATAATGGTAAGTTGTATTTAAATATTACAAAGTTATTTACATATTAATACTCTTAATAACAATGTTAAAAGCAAAAATTATTATTTTCATTGTAGAATTATCAAATGAGGAATTGTGGAAGGTGCTGTTTCTGTCGATACATGATGTCTTTGTTTGTAATTATTTTTATTAAATTATACTATTATTAGTATTTAAAAATTTTTATAATATAAAATTTGTGTTATATTTTAAAGTTAAATTATTGTGAAAATTAATTTAGAATGATCGACAAGGTGAGATTAACTTAACCTAAAATAGAGTATTGTTATTAAATTATGCTATAATTAGTGTTTAAAAACATATAATGTTAAATTATATGATAAATAGTGTGTAAAAAGTTTTATAATATTAGATTATCAAGTTAGATCATCATTATAATAAATTTAGAATAATTGACATGGTTAACCTAACCTAATTCAATCTAAACGTTATTCCACAGATGCAACATGGTATGAATTACTTTCCGTATAGATGTGCAGAAGGAAACCTTTATGGAAATTCATCAAATCAATCAGGTGCTCCACCACAACCTGGGATTCAACCTGGCGTTCTACCCGGAGTTCAACACCCGTCTATGACACAACCTCGGGCACAAATCCCGGTCGCTACAGTTGAACCACGAGTACGATTTCCATCTGCAGCTCAACCTAGAGCACATTTTCCGCCACCTGCTCAACCTCGAGGATGTGTATTCTCATCTTTGGTTCCATGTGCGGAAGCAAGGTCTGCTGATGGAACTTCATCTCAACCTCGAAAAACCATATTTATTGAACCTCAACCTCAACCTCAAAAATCACAATCTCGAAAATCCGAACCTCGAAAAACCATATTTATTGAACCTCAACCTCAACCTCAAAAATCACAATCTCGAAAATCCGAACCTCGAAAATCTGCACCTCAAAAATCCGAACCTCGAAAATCTGCACCTCAAAAATCTGAACTTCGAAAATCGGAACCACGAGAATCGAAACCTCGAAAATCTGAACCAAGAGAGTCAGAACCTCGAAAAACTGAACTTCGAAAATCGGAACAAGATGTTAAAGAAACTCAGCATGCTGATACGGTAATAGGAAAATTTTAATAATTATAAATTTTATATAAGATACTACAAATTTATATCTATCTATATTTACATTTATTTACAAATTTACAATTAATTTACATTTAATTTCATAGTTATAAGTATATATTTACAATTATAAATTCTATATAAGATACTACAAATTTATATCTATCTATATTTACATTTATTTACAAATTTACAATTAATTTACATTTAATTTCATAGTTATAAGTATATATTTACAATTATAAATTCTATATAAGATACTACAAATTTATATCTATATATTTACATTTATTTACAAATTTACAATTAATTTCATAGTTATAAGTATATATTTACAATTATAAATTCTGTATAAGATGCTACAAATTTATATCTATATATCTATATATTTACAAATTTACAATTAATTTAAATTTAATTTCATAGTTATAAGTATATATTTACAATTTTACATGGAATTTTATATATTAATTATTTACAATTTGTTAAAAAAAAAGGTGGAAAAAACGGACTCCATTCAGCGTAGACCATCAAGATGGGAACCAGTTGAGGAATACATTCCAGCAACAACGAACAAAATTGAAGATGAAATTTACATTCCAACTCCAAAGGTTCAAGAAACGGAAGAGGAACGACCGTCTTCACCTGTTTCAATTAGCTCGGAATCATCAAGTTCATCTGATTCCTCTAGTTCTTCATCCAGTTCTTCTTCATCGTCATCATCGTCTGACAAGGCAGTTAAACAATCGTCTTCTTCTGAAGTCGCAAATACTTTAACAGTGGCAGAACCTTCAAAAGTAGTTAACACTTTAAATGTGGTGAAAAATTCAGACGTGACCGAACAACATTTAATAGAAAAAACTTCCGATGTGTCCACGTCTTCTAAACCTAATGAATCAATAAGTGTCAGTGATCCTTGTATCAGAAAATTAACAAAACCCAAAACAATTACAGGCAAGAGAAAGAGGTCTAAAAATCGCAAAAGTGATGACGATGGGGATAAAAAACACAAGGATAAACCTAAGAGAGCAAAAAAAAGTTCATAGATCTATGTTTTTTGTTTTTACATGTGCTCCGTTTTACGCGTTTTTCGTTTTACGCGTCTTTGTTTTACAAGTACTTTTTTCGCTTTCAGCGTTTTTCACATTCACGTGATGTAGTTTTACATTTCCACGTGTTTTTTTGCTTCAACATATTATTCATTTTCACGTGTTTTTCACTTTAACATGTTATTCATTTTACATGTTTCTTCGTTTTACACGTTTTTCATTTTTAAGTGTTTTACGCGCTTTTCGTTTGTATAAACGAATTTAAATATCCACATTTGTGAAATGGAACAAACACATTATATCAAAATATATTTTTTTTATTTTATGAAAATAAGGACATTAAAGCGCTTTATTAGTGTTATTCGTTTTATAAAAGTTTTTTCTTAAATGAAGGGCTGTGATAAGAAGAAAAAAACTTTTTTTTTGTTTCGTTTTCATTTTTTTTTTCTTAAGTAATTTTTTTATGTTCTTCTGATTTAGTCCTTCTATTTGTTTTTACAAATTCCATGTTTAACATAAATCGAAAATTGTATTAATTTCTAAGATACAAAAAGGTTGTGCTTTAATACATTTTCAAAGTGTGTGTTTCTCTTTGTTATTAACGGGATAAAAAAAAAGTTATGTTTAAAAAAGAGATTGTTAAATCATGTAATTTAATAAAATAAATTTGCATTTAGTGTCTGTGTTTTTTTACATAGCATTTGATTTAAAACAAGTCCTTATGTGCTTAAAAAAATATTTTGAAGAATACATAATCACGCTTAATTTCAATTTTACATTTATGCCTTCAAGAGAATTTTATTTAATTACATAAATAAAGTGAAACTATATACAAGTGAAACAAATGTAAAATATTTAAAGTGATTGTCATGAGTTGACATTTGTAGCGTGATATGTTTAATTTATGTCATAAACGAAATCTCTTAAAAATCGATAAACAATTCATACATATAAAATAAAGATTTCATATTTTTCTTGCACAATTTTAACAGAAATTTATATCTTATAAGTAATTGTTACCTTTAATAATTAAATACCTATCTACAAATCAAACTAAAGGTAAATGCGAATTATAATAACTTTAAACTCATTTCTATGCTTCTATGTCTATAAAAATAATTAAAATTCATTACTGTAATTCAACTATTTAATACTGTACAAAGTAATTAAATGATATTTTAATTAAGAGGGAATCATAATTTATTTAATTAATTAAAGAAAAAAAAAAGTTTAACATTAAGGAATTGTAAAGCGCAGAACTGATGGTGCATAAGAGAGAGAGAGAGAAGATACATCTATAGTGGGGCAAATGAGTGAGTGGGGATCGCTGCGGTGGGGAGCGCCGTGGTGGGGATCGCTGGTATAGAGCACAGCACGCCAGCCACCAGAGTCATTCTTTCAGCTCCAATCGTTTAGGTAAATGTCTCTTACAGCTCTGCCAGGTCTTCTCTTGTATTTCAGCATTCGTTTGATTCCAGTTATTTCTTACAGATTTTTTTTGTATTGCAGTTTTCGATTCTTTTTTCTTACTTAATGTTTTGTTTTAAGTTTTCGTTTTTATATTATTTCTCTTATATTTCTGTTTTCATTTTTTCAGTTATTTCAATTTTCCTTTTTTTTCTAAACACTATTTTAGCTTTTGTACCTCTTGCTACATAATTTTCTCTATTTGAACTTTGTTTCAATTATTTTCTTTTCATTCAACTGACCTTATTTTTCAAATCTTTTTTCAATTATTTCTTTTTTATTTTAGTTATCATATTAACTCATTTTTTCTTATATTATGTACTTAATTTATTTGAATTATCCACATTTTTTTTCTGAGATTATTTTGACTATTTTTTATCTGAAATTTTTTTTTTTTAGAAATAAAAAAATAATGGACCCTCAACCAAATTTAGATGATGATAATGATAATGATTCCGTAATCATAATTTTTGACGAGTACGCTCACAATAATTATGAAGACGATGATGATGATGATAATTGTGATGATGATGAGGACAAATATGATAGTGCGGGAGAAACTATCATCATTACCGATGATGAAGATGATGATGATGATCATGATGATGATGATGATAATGATGACGATGATGATAGACTTGTCATTGATATTGATCTGGAAGAAGTTAGTAAAAAAAAAGTTATATTTTAATTAAAATTAATTTTTACAATTAACCTGAATATTTTTTTTTTATTTTTAGATGGCGGAGTTATTAGAGGCCTATCCCGCGACTGAGGAAATGTTGCATATAATTCAAATGAATTTAGAAATTTCAATCACATCACCACCACCTTCACCATGAATTTTAAATAATAAATTATGTTTTTCAAATTTGTGTCTAATTTCTTTAAAAAAAAATGAAACGTTTAATTTTAGTATGCATAATTTAAACATATATTAAGGCGTGGTTTGTTGCATGCGTGCGCAATGTAGAGTGTATGTGTATAGTGGGGATAAATTTGCGCGCGCATTATAATATGTGGTGGGATTGGATAGGAAAGTGGGGAACTAGTAATATAAGACAACTTCCAGGCTATCAAGATCATTCTTTCTTACAGGTCTCTCCAGTAATAGTAAGTATAGACTTCTCTCTTTAGTACAACACTTTTTTCAGGTTTTCTTTCAGCTTTTACCATTTGCAGGTTTTATTGTTATTTCAGCATTATTTTTTTCTAAGTTTATAAATTAAATTATTCTCTTTTAGTTTTTGTTTTCTTTTTAGGCCTTGTTCTCTTTTTTTAGGTCGTTTTGTTTCCAATTCTTTTCAGCTTTTACCATTTGCAGATTTTATTTCAATTTCAGCTATATTTTAATTTCAGATTTTTTTATTTTTATTTAGGTTTTATTTTCTACAACAACCACTAAAAAATGGATCTTGAAAAAGTCAACGCAGTTGGACGTTTCGAAGGTTACTTGCCGACGAAACCTCTATCTGAGATGACGAAAAATGGTTTATATTATATTACGAAAATGAAGAAGGTGCAAACTAAATATGGACCAAGAATCATTGTCGAAGTGAATGCTGATTTCATCACCTATTTACCATCGAGATTCGCCAAACACTTTGAAGAAGAACCCAGCTCTATGGAAATGATGCAAGAAGCAGCAATAGCCAAGCAGCTTCAAATGAAATATCTTGGAGGAACATACAATATTGTTGAATTTCAATTTTTAAAATAAATAATTGTATATATATATTTATTACAAAAAGAATGTTAAAAATAAAAACACAAAGTTTTACCTATAAATTTGTTTTAAATTTACTTTTTCCCTAACATAAGTTAATTTTAAGCAATAGAATTAGTTTATTTTCATGAATTATAAAATAAAATTTAAATTAATTAAAGGGATAGGTTTTTAAAATTAACAAAGATTTTTATTTAAATTTAAAATTAATATTTATTTAAAAAAACTTATTAAATATAATCACAATTTTCATAGAAAGATTTTAAATTAGTAAACGTAGAATCAACTTCGTCAGTTTCTTTAACAATAGCACTTATATATTGGTTTGGAGGATCCAAAAACCAATCGCGAAGAATCTTTACATTTTTTACAGCACAATTATCATTATAAAGAGTATGATGTGTACATGTTAACAAATCAGATTTAATTTTTTTCAACGATGGACATTCAAAATCTTCTAAATTTTGTACATTTACTAAATATTTTTCTAGCCATGTCTTTTTCTCCAATCCTTTTACATAGATGACACTAGCATTTCGAAGTACGTCTTGTAGAATTGGACGAAGTTCATCGTATGAGACGTCTCCAGCTGTCCAATCTATTCCATGGTAATTGTGTGTTAACCAGCGATTTTCACTTTTATAGCGTCCTGGCAATGAATTCCACGTACAAGGTGATTCAAATAGGTAGACAAGTGGTTGAGCATCTGATTGAAGAGGAAGTATTGCCAACTCTTTGAAAATAAAATCGTTGTAGGGTCTTTTAAATCCTTGAACGTCCACAATGAACTCCATGTTGAAACAGAAATGAATTTTTGACTGAAAACTACTGCATTTATACCCAATCATACCCCCCCCCACCACTTTACCCCCACTCCTCTACAGCAACTTCTTGACGACGCCGCTGATTGGTTTATATTGTACAACGCGGTCATGGATAATGAGGCAATATGCAGTGGTCTCAGCTGGCATATTATTTCCTGATTCAAATTCTAAACGTACATCTACTGATGCTTGTTTAAGAAACTCATTTTGTTTTGAACAATCAATAACAATTAGAGGAAATAGTTGTTTAAAAATAGCCCTTGTTAAAATAGGTTCTGAGTCTTTTCCATAGTAAGATGTTTGAAAATTAGCATACATTTCATAAAGAAGAGCGTACTGATTTTGATCAAAGTTTAGATTTAAATTTCCATAAGGGTAATATTGTGAATTTAAAAATAGTTTAACATTTGTAATGTTACAATGATCAAAATGACAGGCATATTTTTTTCGTTTATCTTTTCTTGCTGTTTGAAATCCTACAATTACATATCGTGGTTTCTCCAATTGTGTTGATGTTTTTATTTGCCATAGGACTTTTGAACTTGTTGGAACTAACGGATACTCATACATTTCCCATGATCGAAAACTTATTGAAATTAAAGGATCTTTTTCAATAAATTTCAATAATTTTATTTTATTATTATCAGCTGGTAAAATGTATGGTACCATCCATTCTAGTTTATTGATGAAAATTTTAAATTCTTCATCAGCTCCTTGTCCTGTTTGTATTATAGCATTAGTATCATTACGTGCTCTTGTTAAAATAAGTTCATGTTTAGCGTTCATAAGAATTTTCTTATAATCCTCAGCAAAACCAAAAATCATGCCAAGTGGTATTGTAACATCAAAATATCCATTTTCTAAAGTAATTCTTGCATCAGCTGAAATTTTTGAAAACCCTGCATTCTCACTTAGATTTAGCTGAGGTGGAGTTAGAGATACTAAATTTTTCATTATAGTTGTATGTCCAACGTATTTGC